AATTATACACAAAATCCTTAATATTTCTGGAACTACAAGGACGATTTTGATGTCCTTTGGCCAGACCTGGCTAATACAATTTTTTTGACACATGACTCATCAGGATATTCAAGGATATAGCCGAGTTAGGGGCTATTTTCTGTTTACAAAAGTGTCCTTTTTTCTTAGCCGTTTGAAGGACTATCGTCAGGACCCTCAAGGGCACAGCTGAGCTACGGGCTAATATATTTTCAAATAATATATGACTATATCGTGAAGATGATGAACTTTTTTCCTTTTACTTGAACACTCTGAATTGTTTAGACCATCTGTCAGCCGCAGGACTTCATGCTTATCCTTGAAATAGCTAAGATATGGCAGAATTTGTTATTGATATCCTGTTGGGATAACTAGCTAAAGCTCGACCATATCCCTGCAGAATTTCAAAGATTATGGTACGCTAGGCACAGAAGAAACAACTGTATGGATATGCAGTAAAACATTTGGGTGTTATCTAAGAATCCAGGATTTGTAAAATTTCTGACGTGGTGCTAAAGTAGCTTTTTTGTGTGCCAGCGCAAAAGTATGCAGTGCTATTTTTGACAACTTATATATTATTGCTCAGAAAAGTATGTATCATACAAAATATGTTAAGCAGAATTGCGCCATCTGTTGATTTTTTATGGAGTTAATGCTTAATAAGTAAATCGCACAAAAGTATGCAGGCTTTTTAGTTCTATACGAATTTTAAAGCTGTTAACAGAAAATTTTAATTGCTCCGAAATAATTGGGTTACGTATGATAAAAGCGCAGTTAAAAGCCAATTTCCGTTTTGTTTTTTAAATAAAATATTGTGAATTGTCAAAGCTTTTGTATTCTTTAATTATTATTCGGCATCTCACCTATGTTTATTTCGCGTAACGTCCTTGGGTGCTGCTCATGGCAGGCCACCTTCCACGTCGCATTCGATATTAACTTTGTTACTTTTCGAGATAAAGAATTTATGTTGTTTTATGTATATAATTATGAGAAAAATAATGCAATAAATAAATAAAGTCGTTTAAAAAAAAAACAAAGCTACAAAGAGCAATTCTCTTCGGCGTGCCGAAGTTTAAAAACCCTTACAGGCATAAGTCTTACGATAATACAGAAATGTAAGGAGAATTGTGAAGTAATTGATGCGTTTGGTAAAAATATCTTGAAAATCATACGATTTTACTATACAGAAAGCAGGGTTCTCGACCGATTCTTCCTATAGAACTAATGATAAAGACTTCAGATTTTGATAAGATTTTGCTTATTTGTAAGAAGCAACAGCTCGCAACTGCCAAGTTTGGTTTGCTAAAACTAAAATACTAAAAAACTTTACAAGGATAAAAACTAAATATCCAAAACATAATTTCAAATAAGGTTTTTTTCTGTGCTTCACAATGTTTGCATGTGCAACTGTTGTGTACATTCTGAAGGCCAAAAACCCGGATTAGGCGGGTTTATAAATGTTATTATTATTTTTATTATAAAAGCACCATTTTTAGAATTTTTATATGCGGTACTGGTTACTATGGCCTTCGGTAAGGACTATACTGCGATCATAAAAAAGAGTGGAATTCGAACTGCGACGCTCGGGCTTAGATTTTTTTTAAGCTTTGCTCTTAGCTAAAAAGGATTTCCTTTGTGTTATAAGTTACTAATTTCAAAGTTTTATACAGACTGCACACACACACCCACACACACACACCCGCACACACACACATGTAGACACTCATGTGCGCTACGTAACCGGCATTTAAACTAAGCTTAGCTCGTTTTGTAACTCGCCCAGCTAATTGCCATAATCTGTTAGGTAAAATTCTTTTTTTTTTTAGTTGTTTTTGTTAAACTTGCTCCAATTGAAACGGTTTTGCGAGCAACTAATCGGCTTAGTGTCCCAGCTACTGGGGCAGAGACACGCCGGGTGAACGGCCACAGTTATGCATGGCTGGGCCATTGTTGCAATTGACTTCTTTGACTGGTGCGATTTTGCACTTGAATGCTTTTTAATCCTTTGACGGAGGTAACCCACACAAAATGAAATTTATAATTAGCTGCTGGTGCAAATTGCACTGGCCAACGCTTCATAATAACATATTTAAATAGCTCAGATGCTGGCGTTTTAATTGAAAGCCCGTTTTGCGTCATCATACAAAAAATAGGCAAGAGTTGTGGCGCATGTCCTTGCCACGGCATTAGCTACCCGCTGGCTATGTATGAATTAAAATACGTAGCACAAAGTAACTCCTACGCCAGGTGGACACATTACCCAAGCACTAGTCCGGGCAGCAAACGAGCAACATTTTACAGCCCTGCTTTATAGTTGTTGATTAAACCAGAGAGAAGGAGAGCGACAGAGAGAGAGATGCGCAAGGAAGCGGGCTAGTTTGATGAGCGAGACAGACACTTTGGGCCAGAAATCCAATCTGGATTTTGTGCAACTACAAGCAGCATGTGTGCAGCATTTGCCTGCTGGTTCGCCTGCTACTCTTGCTGTTTGCCAGTCTTGATGCTCAGCAGCATTTCGTTATTGCCATTTAGCTCGCACTTGACTTGCAACGAGTGGAAAACTCTTTACTCTTTAAATACCCTCGGCCTGCAGAAGTGGTTAAAAATGGGTATATTAATTTCTTCAAAAATAAATGATTGTTCTCTAAATTGTATTCTATATGGACTTGCATAGTAAATAAATAAAACAATAAATTAAATTTTTTGTCATACAAAAAAGATAAATTCACCGGAAATTTAGTTTAAATAATAAAAAAAAAATTACCTCATCATAATTGAGTGGACAAACGCTTAAAGATATAGTTTAGGGAATAATCATATGTTAAATATATTTCTTTATATACCTAAAGTAAGCTTTGCTTATAGAAGTTGTGTCTATCAAAGATCCTAATAACCGATATAATAATAAATTTGATTAGTACAGGGTATTTGCGAGTCTAGCTATCTAATTCCTTATGCATCTTCTGCTTGTGACTGTCTGTTGTACACACACACAAAAACGCACACGCATCAAGGATTTACACACTCACATACACGTACACATCCCCACACACTCGCACGCACATGACAAACATTTTTCATCAGTTTCCGTAAACTTTTCGACTCGGGCTCTTTCGACAAATTGTCGAGCAGCTGTCGTAGGCTGTTCGCCTGTTACTTGATTTTTTTAATTTCAATCATTTTTTCACATTTTTATTTTTGGCATCTCCCTGCTGAAGGCTGAGTGGGGAGGCAGGCTTTGGCTGCGGACAGTAAACAAGCACATGTTGTTGGGCACATGTTGCTGGGCACATGTTGCTGGGCATATGCTGCTGAGCACATGTTGCCAGCGATGTACGAGCGTACACAGGGCGTATGATTTATGTTGTCTGCACGGGTTTTATTTAGTTATTGAAAGCTGAACAGGCAGGCCACACCCACCCACAAGCCCATATCCACACACACACACACACACACACACAGACGTGAGGTTTGCATATATCATGGGGAGCTTATCTTGAGCGCCATTTGGCGGCAGCTACTGTGATTTATGCCAATCCGCAGCAGCCGCTCAACTTGCTTTTAATTATGAGAAATTGCACGCTCAACTGACCCACGTTGAGATCCTTTGAGGAGACGCAAGCGGCGGCGCTGCCACTTGACACAATTTATGGTCACTTTTTGCATAACAAAGGCCGCCAACGCGGCTTAACAAATGGCCAAAACAAACAAGTGCTTGAGTAGACTTCTTTTTTTCCTTGCAGTTTTGCACGGCATTTCATTGCAGATTTTGTTTAGCGATTGCATTTCTTTTCTTTATTATTTTTCGTTGTTTTAATTTGCAGCAAAGGCAGTCGCCTGGTAATTGAGTTTCTTCAGCGATTCGCTTTGTGCTCTGGAGCAGCTCTTGGCGGATGCACTGCGCCAGTTGACAAATGATGAACTCGAGAGCCAACGAAAAGATTTAAGAGTGTTTTAAAGCGCTAACAGACTCTACTTTTTTAGCAGCCTCAGCTATAAAAGACCTCTAACCGGCCGTGAAAAGCAGTTGTCAGCGGATTTTATCGGCAATCGGCATCGAAATCAAATATTATAAATTGCAAACGCAATTTGAAGCTGCTGATTATGCAAAATCGAATCAAAATTAAACGAAAACATTTTCAGCGCCATATAAACGTTGCCAACTGGCGCTGTTTACACACAACGCGTGAGTTGCAATTCTGAATGGAATGTGGGGGCGGTTGGGCACGCAACTTAAATCGTTATGTTAACTCTTAAGCTGCTTGTGGCACGTATCTGGCGTAGACTGCGCGTTTGATTCAATTTTGTTGCGGCACTCGACTTTTAGCTTTGATGTTTTTCTTTTTTTCTTTATGCTCTCTTGCTAAAAGAAAAATTGGAATATTAGCTTTGTGGCATATCTGTCTGTTTGTATATTTAATTAAGCAAATAAAGATCATAAAGGAGGTTTATAAACATAATGTGCTTTCTAAATGTAGCTTTAAGCTTTAAAAATTAGAAAAAATATTAATTACATGTTGTTACATGCAATAAATGCTTTGAGGGTCCGAAAAGTATGAAAGAGTATGAATAAGAGTATAAATAAATGAATAGTAGTATATCTCGTAATAATTTGATGAAATAAAGTTTTGGCAGCCATACAACATCTAGAAATTTTGCTAGATATAACTCAAGCAAAATTATGAGCTTACCTCTGTTCCATATATGTTTTATATCATGTTTATTGCATTGAAAACAAAGCCATTGTTAAATAATTGTTAAAATAAGCCGAAGAAAATGAATAAAATTATAAAGGATAATCAATCCAAAAAGGATTTGAAAACAAAGCCTTTGTTAAATAAGTACTCAAATTAGCCGAAGAAACTAAATGAAACTAAAAAAGGATAGCAAATCCTTAAAGCAAATTTTAAGCAAACTGTAAAAATTAAATTTAACTGGAAAACGACATTTATTTTGAATTGTAGCTAATTTATTCGTATATTTTGTATCACTTTAAACATGACTTCATACATTTAAAAAATATGCACACGCAGCATATACCGAGATATAGAATAATTTAATTATAATTTACGAGCTATAGAGTAGCTTCTCCAGTTTCTTAAAGAGCTTTTCGATTTAGCCTGTAACGAATGCGGCTTTTTAAATTGGCTTAGTTCTCATCATACAACAATGACAATGATAATAAAACCTATGGTTAGGTAATTCGTAATTTTAATTGCTAATCCAACCAAGCAATAGGGCTTCTTAGAGAATCACAATGAGATTACCGCTAGATGCGACCAGCACGAGCGGCCACCGATGGGTTCTACGAGCGACGACCGAAGAGCTTGAAGTGCGTCTTCCAGCAGCTCGGGCATCATAGCTGCTCGTTGCCAATGTGCGTGGTATCCGTGGGCAGCGAGTGGGTCTGCAGAGAGTCGAAACACAGACCGAGTGTTGCCCAATGCCAAATACTTAAAGTAACTCGAATATCTTTGGGGGTAGCACTCACCTGCAGCGCCTTGCGCTTGTGATGCATCGACGAATTGGAGGACGACTTGCCCTTGCCCTTCTTCCAGGAGCAGAGCAGCAGCTCCTTCATGCCCTTGCGAAAATTGCGACTGAGAAAAGCGTAGAGCAGGGGATTAACACCCGAATTGAAGTACGTGACCAGAAAAGTGAGCGGCGTTAGCAGCGCATTAAAATTGGAATCACCGCGATATGAACGTGACCTAAAATTATGCATAGATAAAATATATATATTAAGTCTTAGTATATGTAAATATAGCTAGCATTTATGTATTTATGTACCAGCAACTAAATAAACATGTGCCAGAAAGCACTTCATGTCTAGCCTTCTTGAAACAATTCAAGTTGATTTTCATAAAGATTGCCTATTCTATGCTCAGCTCAAAATTTTTATTTTGATATATTTGATACATATTAAAAGGTAAGAAATAAATAAGTCAATTTTAAATCAAAAGTATCTTTTAGAATTGTTAAAATTCGTTATTTATCGATTTAGTCTTCTGATTAGGAGCATTTGCTTAAACAGTTCTTTTCGCACTTCTTGCTACCTTTCGTTAAATTTAAAGTGGCGTCTCTTTTTTTTCTTCCAGCTATTTGACAACCTCTGACAAGTATTTGAACTGATTTGTACCTGCTTCTTCGTAACTGTCCACGCTTCGCGTAACTTTGCCAGAAGAGCAAAGTTTTTCAGCGTCTTTAAGTAGGATGCATAACTGGAACAAACACTTTGGGCAGCAGCCCGTAAAACAGCTGCCCGACTTGTGCATTCCCTGTCCAAAGCTGTGTATACGTTTTTTTAACTTCTGTATTAAATTAACATTTCTAAGTTCTTTATACTTTTCGGGGTAGTTACAAATATTTATAATTAAAATGTGTTATACAAATATTAAATATGGGATTTACTTCCCAATCTATATTAATTTATATTTTAATGCTAAGTGTCTTAGTTGTCTTGTTGATTTATGAATTTTGAATTATTAAATAGATTAACAGGGTATTGCCAAGTCGCTAACAATATATTTTCATTTCCAAGTGGACAAAACTTTGAGTCAACTGTCAAAATGTTTTTTTCGTTGTTTGCCAGTTGACAATTTGCGCTGCACTTGCAACTGACAAAAGTGGGCGGCGTGTAAGCAGTGGAGGGGGTGTGGCTAACTGATTGGCACCCTCAGAGGTCTTTTTTGCATTTCTGCTGCTGTTGCTGCTACTCTGCTCGCAGCTTGAGTTGTCAAGTGGCTTTAACAATCGACTTGCAAATTTAAAAGCAAGTCCAAAACTCGTCTAAATATAAATTGGCAACCCATGAAGCAATGGCCATGGTGGCCAGCTGTCGCCACATGGGGTAAACATTCGCCTGACCCAGTGCAGTCCATATAATAGGCCGACATAAGGTGCTAGTATAATGGCTGGCAAGTCCAGCGTCAGCCCATAGTCAGCAGCCAGCTGCGAGGACTCTGGAATGCGTCCTCTCTGACCTTCCGATACTTGTGTTTCCTGGGCTAATAATGATCACGTGCCTCGGCGCACGCTGAGCCTTGTTGTTGCTGTCTGGTAACGCATTAATATAAATATGGAGCAATTGACGGCGCATGACAGCATTAAATGAACCAAATGACACAATTACATAAGCTTCACTTCATTAAAGTTACTCCACCTAAATGACCGGAACTCAGACATAAATTGTGTTCCTTTTTTGGACATTAAATACCCTATTACTAAATATCTAGGTAGGAGCTCAACTTGGACAAAGGTAAAAGCTTCAATATTAAGCTTTGAAATTTAAGCTATGTCTACTTTATTTTTGATTTCCTTATACATATGTATATATATACTAAATATATGTAATTAACAAAAAAATAAAAATAAAAAAATATTTTATTAAATATTAAGGACTTACATTTTAATAATAGATTGATATATTCAATTTGTTGCAAGGCTTTGTCTTGTTAAAATAGAAATGCAAGGCTCAATAAATATTTCGATCTAGTTAATTTACAAATAGTTGAGTATTTATAATTTTTATTCCTGTAGAGGGTATTATAATTTTTTCCTGTATATATATTCTAGATCAGCACCAACAGCCGAGTTGATACAGCCATGTCCTTCCGCACGTCCGTCCGTCTGTCTCTATGCAAACTTGTCTCCCAGTTTTAAAACTTTCATCTTGAAACGTTGCATATTTCCGTCTTCTTGTTGCAGGCAGTATGTATTTCGGATCGGATCACTATATCATATAGCTCCAATAAAAATAATCGGTCCAAATGTAGGTTCTTGTATGGATAACTTTTTTGATTTATTAAGATATCTTACCCAAAGTTTAAGATTCACTGTGCTGTCTACATATGTGCAAAATTTTATCAACATCGGACCACAAAATCATAGAGCTGCTATAGAAAAGATCTATCTAAAAGTAGGTTCTTATATGGCCAAATATTCTGTTTTTCCAATATATTTTCTATTCTCACATATATTCTCACATATCTGCAAAAGGGAAATGTCTACAAGGGTATTAAATATTCGGCCTGCTGAAGATATCCCTACTTTCCCGATTGTTTTTATTTTTATTCCGAGCGGTTGCAATATAAAAAGCTCAAAAATGCTATAATATTTCAAATATCAGAAATACCTTGAACTGCGCATTGGGTAAAAATAATTTGATTTTTTTATGCCTAAGAATTGTAGCTTAAAGCTATATTTAGATTTAAGAATATATTGGCTAAGACAGTGCCAAATTAACTGTCCCAAAAGTCTGGTTGTCAAGCTGTCATATTTGTGTTTCATTTATTGGCAGTTTAACATATATATTTATATATTATTTATTTATGTTGGCCATTTACGATTATCGTTTATTAAATTTGGGCGCTTTGCGAAATACGCAATTTTTTATTTACTTATTATATATTTTAGCTAAAATTTGTTTACAATCTGGCCGATTTGCTCGACTTGCACTCGAAAAATATTAGTTTTAATCCATATAATATATTTTAATTTGCAACAGGAACAAAATAGCTGAAATGCATTTTCGCTTGGGGTTATTTCGCGAATTTTACGAAATATGTGAAATATGTTGGGATTTTGCTGTTGCTGGAAAGGCAATAAAATAAAATTTATTTATTTTCGTCTGCCACATAAAAACAATACACGAATTTCGGCCAGAGTACTCGCAACGTGTCATGTCAGCAAAAATAATTGAGATATATCTGGACTTGTCTAAATCATGTCCAAATCATGCTTTGATAAATGTTTACTTCTTGGCATTTCGCATTTTCAATTTTGCTTCCATTTCGCTATTTTATTTGTTTCTGTGCGACTTTTAAGACTTTGACAGATAAGTCTGTGGGCGTTAAATTGTTTATATCGAATCATCTGGGTTGTTGCCATGACATTGCTATCCATGCAGCCAATCTTCGGACCACTGGCCATTGGCCATTGAATCCCTCACTCAAATGACCATAAGCTGTCGTATAATGGGAAAATCAAACGAGACGCACAAAAAACCAAAGGCCAATAGCACAAAATAAAAGCAAGGCGAGCTCGAAACTGAAATGTTTGAATACAGCGGAAAAAGTAAAAGGAAAACGCAAACAAAAACAGCAGGGGCCAAGAGAAGGTTGAAACAATAACAGGAGCAGACCTTTACCATTTTTTTTTTATTAGACTATTTGCCATGTGATGCCCAATAATTGTTGCTAATGGAATAAATTGCCGGCAAGCTTCAAGGTGATCACAAAAAGTCCCTTCAAAGCAAATTTAAAGCAATAATTCATATTGAATGCCCGAATATATTTGCTGATTTGCCGACGCGCATTAAATTTGATGGATGCCACAGCTGACACCAAATGGAGATTGGTTCTGTATTTGACAGCATTCTGGGCAGACGAGGCAGTACTTGTGACACTTCACAATTTATAATTTAAATACGATTTTCAAAAAAAGGTGTAACAGGTATATATATGGATAAAGTAATATATAAGCTTTTTAGCCCCAACTTTAAAATGTTCGGAAAATAAAATAATGGTTATTATCTATGACAATTAATATGATATATAATATAATTAAACAAATTTTAAATTAATAATAAATTACTCTTATTTTGCCAATATTTAATATTTCCAAATTTAATATCAAAATCAAAGCTTATATTCAATTCTTATATTTTGTCTTTTGGATAATAAATCTAGATAAAGGAAAACTGAATAAAATACATGAACAGCAAAGTTGCAAAACAATTTAAAATTATGCTAAGTAAAAAATCAGTGTTTTTATTAATGCAAATTAGGCAAGATAAAAAGGTAAGATTATAATTTAAGAACGATGCAAGTTTTTGGAAACTTATGCAACGGAAAAGATTAGGAGAATTTGGCTAAAACACATTTAATTGCGCCTTTGCCTACAAACGGATTTCATAAGCTTACTTTCGATTGCACAGGTTCTGCTAGGGAGTAGCAGCAAGTAGACTATTGGCAAGCTGCTTAATTTATGCTGAAATTCAGAGCACTGGTCAGTAAATTGTTAAGAGAGTGTTTGAAGTATATATTCGATTTGAGCAGCGGACTGTATGGAAAACGTTAAGACGAGCTCTGCATAACAATTAGAACAAAATTGTGGCTAAGGGACGGAAGGAGCACTTCGGCAATCAGTCTGGCGCTTGGCCCACTTCAATTTTCAGTTTAATTGTTTGTATTATTTACGGCACAGCAGATGGGCACGCTATATGCAAATGACTGTCAACTGTTTGCATAACATAAAATGGCGCTGATGGGCGGGATGACGACAATGATGATGATGATGATGACGGGAAAGACAAGGGCGCTGCCTGGCAACCCTAGTATACAGCAAGAAAAAGTGCCCTATTGTTTATATTAACTTCAATTATTTTTGAAATTTAATTTGATTTCATAATTAAACTATTTTAGTTAATATTTCAGCTAATCGCTTAAGTCACAGTTGTCTTTAATCACGCTCTCTAATTCATAAGACTCAAAAAATTGGCAAGCAATGACGAAAAGTTGCAACTTAATTCATAGAAATATCAATATGCTTTTAAATATATTCTTAAATTTTTTACTGTGTACTCACCAGTATTGCCACATTTTGCGCGCATGATACGGCAGATTGCAGAGCGCGAATGTCAGCACAAATATTATCAGCATGCGAACCACGCCCCTTCGGGCGCGTAGCACATTGCTCGACGAATGTGACATGTGTGTGGCGCCGCCTCCGCCTCCGCCAGCACCACCCCCACCCCCGCCGCCGCCACCATTGCCCTGTCGTTGATTGTGCGTGTGGGAGTGATGATAGAAGCTCGTTTTGCGACAAGCGCTCACAATGGGCCGATCCGCCTCCAGCGAGACCTGCATGAGTAATAGATGTTATAGCATTAGGAATACGATTAACCGTTAGTCTGTGCCGTATAGAGCTTAAAGCATTTTGGCATTGGCTTAAGGACTATTCAGACATACCCACCTTGCAGTTATCAAGCTAATTTTTGTGTGTGTGTTGTGTATTGCGTTGTTGTTGTTGTTGTCGTTGTGATATTGTTAGTGGAGAGGCAAACAAAATGTTGTTGTTGTTGTTAGTGGTAAAATAGAAACCCAAATAACGGAAGAGAAAAAGAGAGAGATACACATATAGACAGCGTGAGAGATAGAGAGGGAGAGAGAGAACACATTGAAACACAAAGATAGTTAAACAGCTAGCTTAGGATTAAGGTTTTAAATAGGCGTACATTAAATTATGCATAAATATATTTGGGGAAGAAATGTTATTATTGTAAGTTTGTGGAGTTAATATTTAAATTAAAATTTCTATTAATAAAATAACATATTGTAAGATTACCTATCCTAAAAAATTATTACTACTAAATTTATATTTACATTCATATTAAAATTTAAAATACAAATTATCAATGTAAATTTGTACTTTCTATTAGAAAATATATAATTTATGTTTAAGATAATCTTAATATTACTATTAAAATAAATAGGCAAAATATAAAATATTTATAATAATAATAATATTTTATATTAAATTAATATTTAGAAAGTTATTATTGTAAATTTATATATCCTATATAATAGATAATATTTTATATAAATATAAAAAAAATATTCAATTAATCAATGTTTGCGTTTGTTTCGCTGCACTCAAAATAGCTTCCATTTTTATTGTGTTTACGCTTTGTACTAAATATACACAACACTTTAGTGATTTACCTTTTCCCCCCACTACCAACCCGTTGCTCGGCAACCAATTTACGTTCATAAATCATTTGAGTACATACATAGATTACATAACGCATACTCTATACTGTTTTTGTTAGCGCACATTTTTCACTTGATTAGAGCCACTTCAAAGAGCAGGCGATGCGCTTGATGGATGTGTGCATATCGTAAGTTGTTGTGCATAAACGAATAATCATTACTACAGCTCAACTCAATGCCAGATACCTGGTCAGGCGGTCAATTGGGGTTAAGTAAGTGGCAAGTTGAAATATTGCGTATACGCCGCATGAGCCGCCAGCTTGCTGCCAACTCAATGCAGCTGCTCAAAACTAGATATTTCACTTGAACTTCACGTTCACTGATACTTCCTAATGCGCTTTGACACCTGCTGCCGTGAAACTGGCTGGTCGGCACACCGGAAGCCTGGCAGCCCGGCAGCCAGGTGAAGGCAACGTCCAAGTTGGCCAAATTGCAATTTCAGCGCAAACTTGCGATAGCCTTTCGCTCAACTTCAGCAAATATTAACTATTATAAGCAACAGCGAGCTACTTACTTACCAACTTAACTGCCAACAGCTAAAACACACCAACTTAACCGGACAAAGCGTAACTCGAACTGAAAGCCAAGCAACGTGAGTTTTAAACGACCAACTAAAATTTGTTCTCCAAGTCTTTTATGTATTTTAACCGAAGAACTTTGAAGCACTTAGCTGGATAAAAGGCTTTCATGTTTTGCTTGAACGCATTCAATTGATTCAAAAGTACAACTATCCTATTTCAACTGAATATTTAACTAATCTTCACTATTCTTGGTATTCATTTTAATACATCCGATTTATGTGAGATGTAATAGGCGTTCTCTTATTTTTGAACAGCAACAACTCTTGAACTAAGCATTTAATCACACTCCGGACTAAAATTTTTTCTCTATCATGTTTTAACAAAACAAAATAATTGTTGGTCGAATAATAGATTTAAGAAGAAAGGTTGTGAGTTTTGAAAATAGTTTCAAGATGTTCGCAGATCCTTCGCTATCCTAGTCTGATTAAAATATATGGCAAGCTTTAGGTATTCGGTCCTGTTTAAGTTGCTGTGCAGTTTTATTGCTCAGGGCTGAGCGCAATGCACAAAGCATTTTTTCTCATCTTAAATATATACGAGGACATTAGGATTAGGTATTCTATCTTTTGCATATAGATATATATGCTCTTGGGCATTCGCTTTGTTTTGGTATGTGGCACACCTGTGACCAGTTGTTGTTGTTGTTGTTGTTGGTGGACTTACCTGACTCTCGGTGATGCTGACTCCACGCTTTTCATATTTACTGCTATGTTTACGTGACAAGGACGTGGAGCTGCTGCCGGAAGCTAGCGACGACGCTGCTGCTGCTGCCGACGCTGGCAGCTGATGCTGTTGGTGGAGTTGATGGTGGTGCGGATGTTGTGGATGATGATGATGATGGTACATGCTGTTGTGCAGGCTCATGCTATTCTCCTGGTTAGCCTGTTGTTGCTGCTGTTGCTGTTGGTGTTGTTGTTGCTGCTGCTGTTGATGTTGTGTCACATGCGGGCTGAGGCCACGCGAGCTGCGCCACAATGCAATGGCTATTTTACTGTACAATACCTGCCGACAAAAAGTGTAGATCATATTAGAAAATAAATTAAATATTATTATTAATAATTAACCCAACCAATAAATTAATTAGGCCATGAGCGTGAGTTAGCTTTGTCTTAAGCTCTGAACTTAGTTTTCTGTCAAAGCTTGGTTCGAAGCATATTTTCGTTTTACCCTTAGAACAATTAAATATATTATATTTCTATACATTGTCTTTCTGAAAATCTGTTTATTTTTCTAATTCGCAGCTCTTTAATACTATTAAATAAAATTAAAGAAATAAAATATATTGTTGATTCTGGTTAAGGTTCGCCTGATCTTCACACAGCTGATTCGGAAAATCCGTCGTGTTTAGGCCGGCTCAGTTAAAAATCGGTTCGCTACAAAACAATGCAAATGAACGCAAAGAATTAATAAAAATTTGGTACTGCGTGCCATTTATCACGGACAAGAAACGGTTCTGTTTGGTTAAACATTACGCTACATTTCCCTCACATCTTAATATTGGCATAGAAAATTAAATTTTTACACATGACCAGCGCTCACAAATTTGAATTGTAATGTACCTTAAAGTGATAAACTTAAGTAATAAATCAATTGAAATACTTTTGTATATAAATTGAACTAGAAATTGTTTCTTTTTCGATCAACTATAGAAATTTAAAAGCATGTTAACAAGTGCATAAATTGAATAGACTGTAACCATAGCGAATTATGGTCGATTTAAAACTAAACGAATTATTAATTTTTTATTTGAAATAAATAAAGCAACTAGATCATTAAATTTTCATTATTTTGACCAAACTATATAATTTTTTTTTTTTGCAAATAAAATGAATTTGAATTTTGTAATTTAACTCATATGAGAATATCTTAATAAATAATTAAACAAAAATGTTAAAACCCCCCATTATTGCATACTTACCGTCATGACCAGCAAAGGCATGACATAGAGCAGCACAAAGTTAATCATGTCGAGCAATTTGGAGTTAAACATTTCACGATCCAGCACACAGATCTCCTCCTCCTGCCCGTCCTCGGTGTGAATGTTCTTGATGGTCTTGCTAAAGACAAATTTGGGCGTTGAGTAGACAGCCGATGTTATCCACACGGTGACAATGACCATCTGTAAGAGACGATGAGTCGGTTAGACGAATACCCCAAACACGCAAAAAATTTCTCTAATTGCGAATGAACACACAAATTGCCATGTAGCGCGGCAATTTGGACGTTTTAACGTCCATGTCTTTGTGCAAGAGTTTAATTAGAGCTGTTAACATTAACAAACGCCTATTTAGTTGTAAATAGCTTCATTTGCCTGGTCAATGAGCACGAATTTTATTTATTTTTTGTATTCATAGGAAATTACATTAGACAAAATGGGTCAATAATTATGTTTGTACCCAGGCCGCCGAGCCAACGATATGATCTTGAATAGGTCGCTTTGCCTGGCCGCCGGGCGTACAGGCAAAAGCTTTGTGTTCACCAAAGTTTTTTCGTCTGCCATGGCTTATTAAGCCTTTTGGCTGGCTAGTAGCACATAAACTTTTTGGGCTCACTTTAATAAGTTCCATTAGCGTGCAAATTGCGGTCAGTATGAATATCAAAGCTATTTAAATGAATAATGTTTAATTGTGCCTGTCAAACTAAACGAAAAGCAAAAGAATCTTTACAAATTTGCAAATGCAAATAAATAAATTAAATGATCTTTTGGGAGCTGAATTAAATTTAAATTTACTAAGAAAATTTAAATTAAAGTATGTTTAATAACTCAATTTACATTTTGCATTTAGATTTCAATTATTGTCATAAAATCAGAATTTATTTGTGACTCCTTAAATAAACAAATATCTATTGTTATCATTTAGAGATGGACTCGGGTCTTTAAATTTTGTACCAGCAAGTACAAGAGATGGCACAGACTTCAGGCACGAAACGAAACGGCACGCAATATTTTCATTCATATAAAAAAAAACTATTTTAATATTTCCAAACAATATCAAGACCTGAATATTTATGTTTTTTTATTGCATTGTGTACTGCGCAAGGCATAAGCACGATTTAACGCGAGAATATATCGTTTTGAGTCATGCCTGAATATACGGCATGCAAGCATATCTACCCTGTAGTCCCTTAAATGCCTATAACGGGTATTATAATTTTAAGAAAAGACATCGCTAGAAGTCATTTCTATAAACTCTATAGCTTATTAATTGGCATGACTTTGTGTTTAAAGTTTTAAAGATGTGCTTTTTGCAGATCTTATGTCTCTGATGTTAGGGTAACTCCTGGTCAGGCATTCTTACTTATTGCAATAAATGCTGACTTCGACAATCGTCGAGCATTTCTTCGTCTTTGCCATTGACTGATTTCAATCAGTTGAAGTTCGACAGCCGAAGCTATAGAACCATTCGATTGTGTCTTATTGTGATTTCCTTACCAGCCAGTGAATAAACATTTATACTTAGAAATATATATTTTTCGATATGAGATATATATTAGGGTTAATCATTTTATGCCTAACCTGGCAAGTTTGCTTAACTGATACAAAATCTTTTTCGCATTTCGAATTTATTCCTGCCGAGGAGCAGCCGCAATCGGTTGAAATGATTGTGGTTGATGGACAAGGAATTACCGAAACTTACGATCAGACAAGCCAAGAAGAAACACTTCTTAAACTCAACGTGAGCAGCAGTGAAAAAGATGGTAATTTTTGTGATTTTAGATCGATTATGCATAATCAATGTCGTCTGACTTTTTAATTTAGAGGACTTGTCTTGTAGTACACTGCAAATTCACTTGTATATAAATCAACTAATTAACTTGTTGATGTAATCATTTATATTTTTATTTTATTAATGCGACTGCAAATACAAGTTGCATTACGTATCAAAAAATTTTGAATTTTTGCCTACAGCTTATTTGCTAGCTCGATGTGAAATTTGATGCTTTTTACAAGTTTTACCTCAGCAAAAACTGAAGGTACTGGTATATAAATATAAATTGTAGATGAAAAAAATATTTTAAATATAAAGTATAAGGGCAACCAATTTTCAGTACTTAGATATTCAACCATTAACATTTGATTTTTTTCAACATTTTTAAATCAAATTCAGATATCGTTGCTGTCAACTGCGAGGTGAACGCCGAGGAAGTGTCGAAAATGAAGCGACAGGTGGCTGCGTTTCGGTCCAAGATTACGGCCGATTCTGGGAAAGTGAAGGAACTGAAAGATCTTATCGCTGCCTACGAGGCGCAGATCGATAGCAATGTCGCCGCATTGAACGAGCAGCAAGAACAGATAGGGTATTTAAATAATAGCATCGCGTTCTATAGGACCACCTGCAACAATAAGGATGTTGAGCTAACTGATCTGCAGGTCAGAGCTAAAGCAGACGCGGCTAAGCTTAGGCAAAAGAATGATCAACTTTCCGAGTGCAGGGATCGCATCAACACACTCGCGGCATCTAGCTGCCTTACCTTTGGCAATTCCTCAGATATTCAGGTATTAAATGTGCCTGGCGTTGGACCATTTCTGGCGCCCTGCGAGTCTCGCTATCAGGGCTCCGGCTGGACGGTGATTCAGAGGCGTTTGGATGGCAGCGTTAATTTCAATAGAAACTGGAACGATTATCGAAATGGCTTCGGCGATTTGAATGGAGAATTCTTTATTGGCTTAGAAAAGCTGCACCGAATGACTGTTGCACAGCCGCACGAGCTGCTTGTTTTTTTGGAGGCTTTTACATTTCGGACTAAATTTATTACATTTTCCAAATTTCTTGTTGGCAGCGAGGATACTGATTACGAGTTACAGCAAATCGAATTTAATGGCAGTTATTACGATGGAAACGGACGAGCGTTGACATATAATATACGACAAAAATTCAGTACCTACGACCGCGACAATGACAACTATTGGGTAAAAAACTGTGCTAAAGCGTTTAAAGGCGGTTGGTGGTTCAATTCATGCGACAACCTTGATTAGTAAGTATTCCAAACTTATCAATCGGAAAGATATTAATAATAATGCCATTATGCACCCATAGTTTTGCCAACCTTAATGGTGAATATAAAGAGTATAAGCCTGCTGGTTACAATGGTGAGGGCATTATATGGAACGTATTCGATGGTAGCACGTCCCTAAGGTCTGTTCAAATGATGATACGCCCCAAACCGGAAGAGACCAATTAAGCTATATATGCAAATATTATATCTTTGAAAAACCATTCATGCATATTTGGCAGACTTTATAAAACACTGTTTATGACAGCGTATAATTGCACGCTGCAAAATAAATATAAACAATTCCAGAATATCAAGAATATGAGCTTCACTGTTATTATTATTTTTTTCTTTAAGGTGCGTTCGATTTCAGAGAATAATTTATATGCATAAAAGTCCGATGCTTGAGTTCTCAACTTCTGCAAGAGCATATAATCAACTAGCTGTTTCATTTCTGTACAATATTATTGAAAATAGCTGCGCTTAATTTTTCTCTTTCTACTCGTGCTTAATGTCTTTCGCTTATGCAAGATTGGCCAATCTATTAAAATGAGTTACAATAATCATATATAGTATTATATATATATTCCTGCACTTAATTAGCCATTATTAATATAGATGTTGCCTTTGTCATGCAATAAGTTTCTACTGTGTGTCTAAAGGGAGTTTGTCCTGACTAATTGACTAAATAATTGACTTATTGATTGATTGATTGATAATCAACGTACAGCCCAAACGGCAAGGGCTAAGTACTCAATATGCACGCTAGTTAAACTGACGATAAGAGTTTGTATGTAGAGCATTCAACAACAGCGCAGCAAAGCTAAAAATGGTAACTCAGCTAAGAAATACTCTACGCTTAGGTTCGAAAGACCCTAACATTGCGAATACATTTTTTGGAAACACAGTGCTTTACAAAATAATAATAAATACCTTTTATATACCTTAATTCCATGAAAATGTCACCATATAAATATATGCTATACAAAATTTTCACTAACTGTTATTAACTATGCCATAGTAAACGAATGGGTATGGAAAAAGAAAATCTTTTAAGCAAGTGAAACTAACTTAATCTAAGTATGATAAACGTATTTTTTAATTTAAGTTTCTCTAGTTTTTATAATATTCTTTTAATATAATATTATAATATTCAATTCCAAAAATTGTGCTGGAAATCGATTTCTATCGATGACTTACCCTTAAACGTGCAGCTGTTAAAATTTGTTTACAGGTTATTGGATGCACAATGGCAAAGTAACGCTCCATACAGATAACGACCAGGATGAAAATGGATGCCGTATAGCTGAGCGAGTGCACAAATTGATACATGCGACAGAGGAACTCGCCAAAGACCCAGCTGAAAAGAATTGCAAAAATAATGTGAATATAAACATTTATAAACATTTTATTTTTTCTCCTTAAACCTCGATACCTAATCTACATCAAAGCTGCCAACACAAATTCTATTTGATGCCACATTCTAACTAATGCCACATTAAGGTGTCTTTTTACTGTAGGTTGCCAGAGACTTTCGCACTGGGCCTTTATTTTTATTATTGCACTTTTCGGTCTGAAATTAAAGCTTTGGGCTCATTGTGCTTGAGGATTAACACGTAATTCTATTTTGTGCGACCTGTGGGTCTTACAGGAGTGTTAAAGTGCTGAGTTGGTAGGGGGGCGGGTGGAGGGGGTGTTGTTAAAGGTTTTGCCGGAAGAGGAAATTGATGTACTCTTGTCGATAGATGTACGTGACATTTTATTCAAAAATGCAGGCATTTGATGGAGTCTCTTGTGAAAGACATAAAAATCTTGAGGTACTAAAACCTGCATTAGAAGCATGAGTGAGCGTTAAGGCATTGGCCTTAAAAGTATTTGGGCTGTAAATGCTGGGAATTATTTTCACAATTCAATAAGAAGAATAACTTTGAAATGTGATAAATACACTAAGCCTGAATATTAAAGTTTATCCTAAGGTAGCTGTGCTTAACAGTTGTCTGACATATATTGTTGCGATATATACATTTAATAAATTATGTAGCTATAATTTACATATATCACCACAGCTCGACACCCTAATCAATCATTTATATGTGCAGTATCAACATTTATAAATAAATAACTATGCAAATGAGTTATGCCAACTTTTTGACGAGCACGCCAATAACTAGGATCAACATATTTAAATATTTGACTTAATTTTCACACCCACTCATCAAATCCAATTACGGAATAGGACCACGTTGTGCATAAATTGGCAATATTATGTGGCCATAATATAATTGACCTTTTCATATGATAATTCGTTGACAGCTGCTGGTCAAATTTATTTTGAACACAAGTGTTTCATTAAACAACACTTTTATGTAACAAATATATTTATTTAATTTAAAATAAATGAGAGAATTTAATGTATGCGCAAAGCAAGCTCTTCAACTAAAACAGAAATATGCTAAAAGCGCAAATAAATGCCTAAATCTAATATTTGTTTAATATACATTTTCTATATTTTTTCCATATCTAATACTTGCATTTAATGTTAAATATTTATTTTGATTAAATATTAACCAACTAAAAGTAAATATATTGATAATTTCCCCGAAAAATTGCAATGAAGTGCATTTTCGCATTTGACCGTCAATAAATTTGGATGTATGATTTATGTTATTTGTTTTCGGAAAATTCCGACACACAAATACTCAAAATGAAATTCTAATGATATATGTGCAAAATTTATATTCGCTTGTCTTTGTTTATTATTCGCTCTCGGCTGATTATTGACTTATTCGTCTCGAGCGCAAACGAGCCGCAATACAAAATAACAAAATAATAACAACAAATCAAATGCCAGAAAACAAACAAAAATAAACACTTAATGTTCAACTTGGGAGTGATGAATCAAACGATACCCTGCTCATACAGATTTGATTAACTATAATCAATATAAAAAGTGCATTTAAAATTAAGGACTTTGAGCGCGATTTGAGTGTCAAACTCATTTAAAGTCCTCGGTGATTTGCCTCTCTTCCATGAAATTGATAATAATCAATGTGAAATTTGATTTATCGAGCATCTCTCGAAGCTTATAGGAGCTAGAGACTGCCATGGCTCTCATAAAGCATAAGCAAATCAAGAATAATTTACTGTTTAACCACCTCCTCCCCTGCTTTATGTGCAGACAATTTCATAAAAAACGAAAAATCAACACCGAAGAAGCTGAATAAGCACAGTCGCGGCATAAAATATGTGTTGGCTTTTTGACTTACCTGTCTATAAGATAAATGGAGAGATTCTGCATAACACAGAAGAGACCCACACAAAAGTCAGCAAACGCCAAGTTGGCCAAGAAAAAGTTGGTTATGGAGCGCAGACGACGCGACAGTGTGACCACCAATATCACAAGTAGATTGCCTGCAAGCAGAAGACGAAGTAGATTAAGAATAACAGATATCAAAATGTCAATTAAATTTCTGCAACAAATGCAAAACAAAAGCCGAAGCCAACTGGGAGATATTAAAAATGTTAACAAAATATTTTGGCAAGCCAGGCGACAAGCCCAGCTCCTCGACACGCTCTTATTTCATAGTAGGGCAGAAAGTTTTACTTGATGCCTGGCTGCGTGCATTGGGGGCAATAACTTTCAGCAGGCAGTGTACACATTCTGGTTGAGAATTTTCGTCGCATTCCCTCGACTCTTGGTTTAATGTTGCGTTGAAAGTTTATTTTAATTAGGGGTTTTGTTCAGGCCACATCTATCGCATGTGTGCGTGTGTGCGTGTGTGTGTGTGTATGTGTGTGTGTTGCCATCTCGATGTCTGTTAGCCTTAATTAAATGAAAACCCTGCCAAGTGGATTTAAGTGACAGCAGCCAAGGGCCTATGATTTACGGCTAACAATTGAATAGAATGTGCAGACAGTTAAGCTAATTGCCCAGATGTCCAACTCTGTCAGATTCACTAGATTATTGGTGTGAAAAAGGTCTAAATTTGTGCTCATTTATTATATGCTAATGCCAGACGCAGACAAAGAGTATTTGACTGCTCTAAGCTAATATACTTATTATTGGTACTGTTAAACATTATCTATTGTTGATAATCACAAAATAAAGTGGTCGATATTATCGATATAGTTTGCATAGGGTTATCGTTATCGATAATAACTAACAAAAAAAACGTTTTTTTCTAGATAACTGGATGCTTAATACCAAAAAAGAGGTTATAATATATATTGAAAGTGGGTAGAAAGGGTATTTTTTTGATAAAGCTGGGTTTCCTCGAATTGTAAATATAATAAATATATTTATTTATTAATTAAATATATTTATTTAGTTTACAGCTTGTCATATTAAATTCATATATGATTTTTTTTATACCTACAAAATTTCCATCTTCATACGTTGGCATAACTTTAGCATGACCTTTTTGATCATTTTAAGGTTTTAGGGTATCTTAAACACAAATACAATTTGTCTTTAACCAAAGCAGATTATGGTTTAACTTTACCTAAATTCACGAAAGAACATTGCAGAACTGTTTTCTCTGCGTTTGGTACAAAAAGCCAACTAAAAGGCACACTTTAAGAAAAAACGTATGCATATATGAATTAACATTGGCTGTTAAATTTTGTGTATTTCTTCATACTTCCTCGTATATTTGAACAAATGAAACGAGCGCAAACAGTGTAACTTTTGCAACACATGTATCAAGCGGATTTCCGGCACGGCCTTTATTAGTCCCTTCTTTACATTTGGATAACCCTTCAGTTAAGGGGTTGGGCTGGGGACTCAGCCTTGAGAACATTTTGTACGGCTTTGTTCCGCTGTGAGTTCGGAATTGTTTGAAGTAATTAAAAAAGTTTCGGCTGAAAAACATTTTGTTTTATTCTCTTTTTTTTTGTGCTTGTCATGTTTGTGCCAACAAATAATTATTACATATATTTGAGGCCAAAATGAAAACGATAAAAAAAAACATAAATATATATATAAAATATTTTGTGTCTGGTTGTTTTTGTTCGTTTATGAGGTTGGGGGCAATGCATATATTCGGCAAATATATATTTGGGAAAATTTATGGGCTTTTGGCTGAGCTCTAATTAATATTTTCTGCTATTGCGAGTAGCAGCGGGTGTTTCAACTAGTCGCAAATTGTTCCAAATTTACATTATATTTGTAATTGTTAATTTTTTTCTACTCGAGTGCACGCCAGACCGCAATGTGTGCACAACAAGCGTGAGCGGGCTAGACACACAGAGAGTTAGAGAGAAAGGGAGGGAAATATCGAATATTATAATTTATATAATTGAAGCATTTTAGAGAACACTTCTACTGCAGTTGCTGCGTAAAGTAATTTAAAACAAAATGTAGTGGCGCATCAAGTTCACTTAATTATATAACATATTGTTATTTGGGCTTCGTAGAGCTCTGACAGCCTTGGTGACTGAAATACGATTCGTTTGCCTTTAACCGCAGTTGCTAACATTTTGCCTTAGCCTTCAGGGCTCAAATTTCCAGGCCAATTCTGGCCACAATTGTTGGCCCAATGCGTTTGGGACTATCAAATACATTTGCCCAGGTTGATGTTTGCTTGGCTGGCAGCGGTTTGTTTCTTGTGAGTATGTGTGGGTGGATGTGCGTGTGTGCCTCTGTGTGTGCACATGTGTCAGTGTCTAGGTGTTGGAGCATGTTGTAACTGCAAAGCGATTCCTTCAAGTACAATTGAAGAAAATGTTAGACAGAGAGGGAAGACGCTGAAATTTACTGCTGTCTATTTTATATTTAAATAAAGGAAAGTTAGGAGTCCTTATAAAAAAAAATGGCGAATCGAAGACCTAGAACCTAGAAATTTTTAATAAGACAGTATGCTTAGTACTTTGTTCTTTGTATGAAATAATAAAAAACCGAAGAAATATAAAGAATCTATTAAACGATTTTAAACATTGTTAATATATTTAACTTTCTAATGCTAATAAAAACAAAAAATTAATTATATTAATTATAATAAAGAAGCCTGAACAAACAATAATATTTAAATAAAATAAACAAAGGCTTTTTAGGATCTCTGCAGCTGTGTGCAAGGGAAACTGTGAAAATCTGTACCAAAATGCTCAGATTTAAACTATTTAAGCCAAGAGTATTGAATATTTAAAAACAGTTTTTGTAAACCAAAGCTAAATGGGGGCTGAGACAAAAAATAAAACAAAAATAAATTAAATAAATCTAAACAAATTCAGAGCAAAGCAAGCTGAATAGATAGCAACAATTTTCAGTTTCGGAAAATTAAAAATGTGGTATAAACAAAAATTAAGTAATTGATTTATATTAAAACCTCAGCTCGACAAACCTAATTTTGAATGCAATTTAATGCAAGTTAAATAATCAATTTGTAAAATAGAAAACACGAATAGGCTGCATTCTCCCTACGTTGACCTTGAGCTAACAGTTTTTCGGTAAATCGCGCATACGCCACGTGTGACAGCTCATTATAAATGATTGCATTAATTACTCAATAGGCATTTGGTTGATCTGGCGCTGCGCAACAGCATTAATTATGTCGAGCCAACCGCTTGTTGGAATTTATGTTTTTCGGCTGGTTTTCGACATTATCTTTTTTGGCTTGGATTTAAATGAAAGCATTTTGGTTGCTTCAAGAGCAACAAAAAACATTTGGACAAAGAATGTCTATGGAGAGGAAGGGGCGGGAGCGTTGAGTGTGCCCATCATTAAACCATTAGGCTATGAAATTTGCAAGTTGCAGCCACATCCAGCCATAGCAGGCAATGTTGTTGTTCATGCGATGGCACGACACTTTATTGCTCTTTGGCCGCCGTTGTTTTACATTGCCATGTGTGTGTGCGTCTGTCTGTTTGTGTGTGTGTGTGTATTTTCCAGTTGCCACTAATTGCTGTTACCCTGGGTCGCTGCTGCCTGGCAGCCATTTACAGTAGTCGACGCATTTGCGAACAAAACACTTAATTTAATGGCATTGCATTTGCTTTTATGCTTATTTGAATTAACTAAGCCAACAATTTAAATAAACAAATGTGAAAAAATAACAATTAACGGTGTGATGCCGCTCATTAAATACGCTCTTGACAGCTGAAATATTAAGTTATTTCTCTTGATATAAAATTTAAATATAAATTTGGGAAGCTGCTGTGTGCGATTGACTATTGGATCCGAAACATTTTGTAGGCACTATGTACAATAGTACTTATTTACGTAAAATAAAATAAAAACTGAAATATAATAAATGTTTTTTTATTCGAAGGTTTTGTGCGGATTTATGTATTGCAAAAACACTAAATAACAGCTAATTGTGGATTGTGGCATTTGTTGAATTGATTGAAATGCAAAGCCCTTGCACAAGTAGTTTTTATATAAAGATTTTAATGCATGAATTGAACAAAAAATAGGAAAACAGAATCTAAGGAATATTCTAAAACTCTACATTTGCATTTATTTGCATTAACTGGCAATAGATTTGCAGGCCACACAAGCCGCAACATCAACAATTTTTAACTTTTAAACTGAGAATAAAGAACCGCAAAACCACAAGCTCAGAGTCGGTCAAGTGGTCAAGCCACAAAGAAGTCCTTTATTCCTTAGCCGCATCTGTAGCCATTTTTTATGGCCAGCAGCAGCACTGAGTAATTGGTAAGTGTGCATTTAAAAGGCACACCAAGAGATAAAGGAGAGAGAGAGAGAGAGAGAAGGGATACAAACGAAAAGACAAAAGGCAACTAAATAACATGATGTCTCGACCGGGATCAATGCCAGGAAAAACCAGGGGCAGGCCAATTAGGTTTTGCTGGCTTGGAAACTGACAAAATGAAAGGAAAAAGCCAATTGAGTTAGGAGGTGAGAGTCTATGGACTATTCAACTTTTAATCTTAGCTTGTGGTATATAAGATTCCGAATTTGGTATATAAGATTCCATTATTATTTGTGACCTGCAGTTCTTAGTAATTATAAGGGTTATTATTTGAGAAATTAGTTTAAGATATTTATCAGGTTTAGTTTTAAATTTTCTTCGACAGATAGAAAGAGCTTATGAAATCGAACCATTCGAAATGCTAAGTCGATAAGCATAAATTTGTAGAGGGTTGTAAGAAATCAAATAGATAAAACAAAGTTTTAACAAGACAAAAATTGAAAGAAAATTTGTAGTAATCTGTTTAGTATTAACTAAACTTAATTATGGCCACGAACAACAACAAGGTATTGAAAAAAAATTTGAGCTGGCTGTCTTTATAATTCTTTCAATAACCTCCGAGTTTTATTATTAGCAATCATTAACTTTGTCGTTAACTTTGTTATCGACTCTAGATATGCGAGGTTTTGCCTTCATTCCTAGGCTACAACTGTTTGAGAATTGTAAGCAACTAAAAGGAGTCAAAGCTAGCAGACTCTAGTGAAATAATGAAGAATGAGGAAGCTTTAAATTTCGTAGATCGTTCCGAGCTTAATGCACTTATTTAAAACACTGGAATTATAAATGGGTCGAATTGAGTTTAAGCAAGTAAGGAAGTAGGTGCACCAATTGTTAGTTTGTGTTTCTTGCAGTAAATAGTCAAAGAAAGTATTTAACCCGAATCTATACAACAATGAGTACTTACCGAAAAAGCAACAGCAGAAGACAATCGTATAGAGCGTGATGAATATGACACGCACATCGGTGCGATCGAAAACATATTCGCTGCTATTTTCAGCATCCTCCTCATCCGCCGGCTCGGTGGTGGTCACTTCGCTCAGAGCCAGAGCTGTGGTCGCTGCTCCGCTGTTGCTGGTTGGTGCAACTGTTGCTAATGTGGCTGTTGTCCCATTTATGGTTAATGCGATTTCGGTGCCGCTCTCATTGAGTGCCAGGCTCGAGTAATTTCCAGTCGCTGACAAAGAGCGGTCAACTAAGAGTACGAGCAGCAGGAGCGGTGACAGAAAGAGCCACGGAAATGCGCGCGGGTGTATGCTAGTTGTTAGCTTGTGTTGGCTGCTTTGTTCCGTTTGTTGTTGTTGGCAATCTGGTAAGCCGGAAATGCTATAAGTTGTAGTTGCAGTGGGGCTTCTGCTGGCCTTGCCGTTGTTGTTGTTATTGCAGTTGTTGGCCTTGTTGTTGTTGTTGTTGTCATCATTATCTTCATAAGCTGCTGATATGTTGGCGCTGCCAGTCTGGCGCATTTGTTTATGTGCCCGTCTCTGCGTCGCTGCTTCCGCTTCCTGTCGACGCCGGCGTCGTAGTCGCTGCCGCTGCCTCTGCCAGCACGATGTTGGCAACGTTGCAGTCGACGTCGACGTCCCCTGCAGGCTATGAGCGCTCATAATGCTAACGACTAATAATGCGTTGCAGCTGCAAGCAGAGAGAGGGAGAGAGAGAGCAGAGGAGAGAAGAAAAAGATGAATAAGTGGATGCAAAGTGAGCGGCAATCAGTTGCCAGCGAAAGGCACCGAAACCGCGAAGCGGTTTTTTATAATTAAAATGTACTGAGGCACCTGAAAATTAACGTTTTATAAGAGCTTTTAATTTCAAGCTGTACAACAATTGAGACGGAACTTTATTTTAATTTATGCTGAGAGAAAATTATGATGTAGATATTGTTTTCAGACAAAAGTGACTAAAGTTTAATTATATCGGTTCTAAGGTGTCAAGAAAACACGCACACTTTTTATAATTCGTAATTTTAATTTCAAGCTAACAGACATTTTAGCCGGAAATTTAATTTAAATTTTATAAACAAGTTTAAATATAATAAGTGATAACAATTTTAATTGAATACGCAGAATTGACTACTATGCTGAAAGCTGTCAAAAAGCGCACAAATGCTTTTTATAATATAAAATCACACAGGACACGGGATTTAAAAGCAACCCGAGATAGACTAACAGATACCCTTTACTGAGCTATAAAATATATTTTGTACTTGGCTTATGTACTTATATATGTCAAAAATATTTTAGAATAACTCTGGTGTTAATTAATATACTTATCAAATAAATGCGTGTCTAATAATAATTAAATATATATGTACCTAGATAATTCCTTTTTAATAATAATATTATAATAATAATAATAATAATATCTGTTAAAGTCTTTAACTAAATGCAGGGTATAAACATAGCTCATACGAATTTATTATATTTATTTACAGCTAATTAAGCTTTTGTATTTAAATTATCCATAAAATTAAAATCCAACTGTCAAATGCTTATGTGATAATTGTTATTATTGTTCTTTTTTGGACTGTTTTGAAAGCAAAATTTTAACATTGGACATATTACAAAGTACCGAGTCGTGCGTGTTTGAAGTGCATGACAATTCAACAGGGCTTTAATTACTTGATAGCTATATTTGCTGGTCTTCTGTGTGTGCGTGTGTGTCTCCATATAGGAGTACAGAATAACACGAGTCCTTATTAATTAGAGCACGTACACAAAGGGGAACAAACACTGAAGTGGGCAATAATCAAAGCATCCTGCTGGGCGACACATAAGTTGAGAGCGATGTGTAAAGGCAGAAGGAATGGGGAAAGGGCAACCTGCACTTTCTGCACTCACATAATTAGCAGCGCAACGTGTTGCATATTAAAAATGATGAAAAAAAATGTGTGCAGAGCAGAAATTGTGCAGAATGGAAAAGTAATATTGCTTTGAAATATGCGTACATTTCTAAATGAAATATCTCAAATATTTGAAATTTGTAAAATAAAGAAAAAGGCCATAATCAATATGGTATACTCCTGATATGTCAAAGGTTAAAATGCTAGAATTGCAGGGCAACACTTTATGGGAACCTAGAGTGAATTTGTATATTATTTCAATATAAATGATACTGAATATTAATAATAAAAGCTGATTTAAATACATTACCAACAGTTAAACAAATCAGAATCAAAATTTTGAAATGTTTTGACAGATCAACTTCGAAAAACTTACTTATTTTGCGACATGTTTTATCATCAATTAAGCCGCTTATCAGACAACTCAAAGAAAACACCCATAAGCTGCACCACAACCCCCGCACCGAAAAAAACTCATAAATGTTATTCAAAGTTTTTGTGCTTTCGCTCAATTAAAGGCAAGAGGCAAAAGCAAAGCAAAAACAAACAAAAACCAACAAACAACACCCAATGGAAAAACATAAACAAAACAATTGCCCGAAGTGGCAATCAAATACAGAATGAAGCGTTCCTAACAAACTTTTCAGCTTTACACCAGCTTCTGCAGCCATTGGCTCCCCACACTCAGCCCATCATCCAAGATTGCACCTTGTCGGCTGCACAAAAAGTTGCTTCGATGTGTCTGCGACTGCCAGTAACAGAATGTGGGTCAAACAGCAAGAACAACAATTAAAGGTAACACTTAATTGCCAGAAATTATAATTAATGAGGCCGACAAAGCGAAATGAGGCCAACAAAGAAGCCGCTTTAATTCCCTGAACAGCCCTCGTATTGGCTGAATGCATTCCAGTTAGTTCTTGGGAAGGATTTCGTGAACACATTTTATATAATTTATATATGTAAAAGCATTAACAAAGTCCTATCTAAAACGTATTTGAGGAATATATAAGATATGTACTTTAAGCTAAAAAAAATTGTTATTAATATTATTATAATAAATTTTATTTTTAGTATTATCAGTATATTTTTTGGTATTATTATTATTTTTGTTATTATTATTATTATTATTATTATTATATTATTATTTTTATTATTATTATTATTATTATTATCATAATTATTATTATTATAATTATTATTATTATTATTATTATTATTATTATTATTATTATTATTATTATTATTTTTTTATTATTATTATTATTATTCATTATTATTATTGCCTATTCAAACTTTGGAAACAACGAGTTCTTTATACTTTAAACGATATCGCTTACATCACTTGTCATCATAGTCCATTTATCTTTTTGCAATCCCAGTTGATTATTTTCCGAGTGAGTGGTTGGCAAAGGCGAGCATTGGTCAAATAGATCCCATGGAGTACGCTGACACTATTCAAACATACTCCGATCAAATACCCCATATGAATGCTATCAATATATATAGAGAAGAGTAAGCAATTGCCTTGCCAATGCGATATGCAATGCACTTTATTCCTTATGAAATGCCTTTTTGTTTATATCCTGCCAAAGACGTGGATTACAACATGCTGGTATTCTGGGTATCTGTTTGCCACAACTGCCATTGGCATCTAATAAGCATTCTGATACCGAATAGCTGCAGTTTGTTCATCAATGTTTGGCTTAAACTCAACCGACAGATTCTCACGGCCTGCCCTTGCCAGTCCCTACATAAACATACCCCTTTCCGACACCATCCTACCAAAACTGTCAACTAATGTCAGATGCAGCTGTTCGACAGTGGGGTATGGAAGGTCAAGTCAAACGTTCACTCGGCTCCAGTTGCAAGTGCCTGCTGCGACAGTTGTTTGGGCTTAGTGCAGAGTCACGACTGCTGCTGGCAATGTCAGTGGCAGCGGCTGTGGCTGTTGCTGTGGCAGGCATTGGGATTAGTTTGCCTCTAAGTGATATTACATGCTGCTTGAGCGTCAATTTCCACGCCAGGTGTAGGTTTGTAACACACACACACACACAGGGAAGCCACATTCAACAGCCTAATGCCATTTCCTGCATACAACTTGCAACTAGCAGCTTGCCACATGCAGCTTGTTATGCAACAGCATACAGCATAAAAAGCCATCGTATTTCCTGCTATACAGCAGACACTTCACACCCTTCAGACTTCATGTCAAGAGTCGTACGAAATATTCACTTGTGTACACTTCAAACTGTCGATGGGAAATTTTTTTTACCAACGATACGATTTATTTGGAGTGTAAAAAGTAAATACCCTATATATATAAATATAATATAAATATAATTTTAAATATATGTTCAAAAAGTTTTCATTTTAATGCAAGCTACTGCGAATATTTTTACAAATTTCCAAAAAATAAAAATTTATAAAAGTTGTAATTCTTTAAATAAGCGGTTTAATATAATATCAAAGGATTTATTTGGTAGACACACAAAAAGGGCTTGATTAAATATCAATTTTATATATAAAACTTGGCTTACACCTATTAAAAAATTAATTGGTTTATAGCCTTTTGTATTATTTTAGCAGTTTTCCCTCGTTTTGCCTTTGCCTCGTGAACTGCTAAAAAAAAATATAAAAACAAGCCTGGCAATTTGCTGCCTTATTTTGTATGTAAGCTGTCGAGTTGCATAATAAAAAAAATATAGTGAAGATAATCTCATGAAAGCAATTGTTAGTTGTCTCGTATGAAATTGACATACTCTTTATTTAAATATTTAATTTGTACAAATTGTAAATATTATTTGCAGAATATGTTGCTAAAAGTTAACATTTTATTTAAGTAGCTTGTGTTGTTCTCTGCAAGACATTTTTTAATACTTGCAACTGGAATTTCATACTGTAATTATCCGTTTATAATAATTACAATTAAGTAAATGCGTCTTAATATAAATATATAAGAATGTAAATATAATGCCCAAAAATCCTAAAATTGAAATATTAGCAAATATTAAGGTTCGAATTATTGTAAGCAATTAATTGCTACTTGCAACTGAAATACTATGTTGCAATTATTCTTTAATCATTTATTAAAGCGCATTTAAAAAAAAAATTTCCATGAATCCTAGATTTAGATATTACAAAAAAATTTTTTTAGAATTCGACTTAATATACATTTTTGGTTACCCCTCTTTCATTAGGTCTATTCATAGAAATGTTTTTTGCCTGGTTTATGGTCCGTGATTGTGAGGTCTTGTTTTTAATTTTTTCTTTTTTATTTTAATATTTTACACTTGCGTGAGTTTTTCATGCGCTTTTGAATTTTGATTGTTTTAAGTGTTGGCATTTATTATGTGCAGTTTTTTCCTATAATTTCATATTATTTGTGCTCTCAGTGATATTTTAAAATAATTGTTTAAATGAACTAATATGAACTAAAATTAATTATATATATTTGTATATTATATTATAAAGCATCTTTATCTGAGTATTTCTAGATGTGTAGATGTCTATATAACTGCATAAGAATATATATCTAAGTATATATCTAGCTATAACTGAAGTCGACTTTATATATTTATATTAATCTGTATGTTGCATTATTATATTATCAAGCATTTGTAAGTATCTATGTTGCTCTAGATGTACATATATATATACATTTATATATAGCAACATATATATCTGCATACGATTAAATATATATATTACTAGTCGTTTATATGTATTTGTGTACATCAGTATCTTGCATATTGATCAGCATTTGTACATATATTTAGCGTATTTATCTGTGAGCTTGTTTTGCCATTAGCTGAAATGTGGAAATTCTGCTCGACTAATGTTTTTCAGCAGCAAATTATTTGCCCATGCGTATGAACTAAAAAATCAGTTGTTTTTTCAATGGGTTTGCTATTATTTTGATAGCAAATACAACAAATTTGTGTGTGGGCAAAGAGGCAACCAAATGCTAGAGCGAGCGCAATTAACTAATTTCTCGAGCCAGGCAGAAAAAAGAAACATTTCAAATTGGTTTTAAGCAAGTTGTGTGACAGCAACAAATGGCAAATTTCTGAAACTAAACTAAACTAAACCAAAGTGAATTGTCAAGTGGTTGGGATTTAATGCTAGAATTCTTAGAGATGCCTCAAGGATGCCACTGACAGCTACTCGAGCTGCAGTCTAAGCACCTGGCTTAACAAAATAGTTTGTCTGCGAGCCTTGTTGGCAATGACGACAACTTCTATCAGGGGGAAATTGCTTGACGCCTTAATGAGGCAAGCGGTTCGGGTGGAGGGGTTGCTTTCATGTTTTATGCCTGGCAACTAAGGCTGCCTGGCAAATGAAAGCTGACATTCGCTAGACTTAAGCCAGCCAAATTGATTTCCCCGATTCTGATTTAATTAAAAAGCAGCTGCAAGCACAATGAAAACCCCAGTCATGCAGCCGATATGCAGCTAAGAGGACTGCGATGTGTACATAAGTCAAGCGAATTCGGGGCTTAAGTAAGAGCGATGGGTGCGGGCTATGAGGGGAGGGGCATATTTAAAATGCAGCCCAACAAATGACAAACACCAACAATGGCCACAATGCAAAGAAAGCACAGTTTAAATCAAAAGCTTAAGACAGTTTTTGTATGTGTACAGTGAAAACTGATAAATAATGAAATATAACTAATCCGCAGTATACTGAGGAATATTTTTTCATTAATGGCTCAACAATGTTCTTTATAATAATATCAAATATTCCTTGACTTAACAGCATTCTTTCGGTAGCAGTGTAAATAAGTTAATCAGTAGTGTTGGGAAAGAAAACTTAATATACTTGACTGAAGATTTATTGAACTTAAACTAGACTATTACTTGATTTATTTATTTATTTTTTTCAAAACAATTAATACCCCTCTCTTTAGTACTAATTGTTATCAGTGCTGGTAAGTAACTTAATTAAGAGCTCTTCTTCTTCTAACCAAGTGCCTTGCAAGCAAATAAAGAGCATATGAAATATGTTTACTTGGTCGAGTATTTTGGACGTTGCAAAGCTTGTTTGCTAATTTCCTCTTGGCAAATATTCACTGTAATTGTGTTGACTCTTAATGCTCGAAAATCACGCGAAAACTCTAAACCAAATGGCGAACAACTTGGGCAATTTTCTTGTGCCCGATAACAAAATGTACAAAAAAAAAAAACTCATTACAAATTGTAACAAACTGTTTTGCACTTGCTGTGGTTGTTGCACCCAGTTTCCCGCCACAATCGCCCCTCCCAATGCTCCCTAAATATATATATATATATTTTTTGGCTACGTCATGTTTGCGTAAATTGTGCTGAAGTACGGACATTAAGTGGTAATTGAGTGTTCCCTCTGTGCATCAAGCGAAATATGTTGTCCAAAAAAAAAAAAAGAAAACAAGATGAAGGAAAATGGCACCAGAAATGTGTGAGCAAAAGGCAAAACTCGACTGGGAAAAATGCAGCTCAGACTGCGCAGCGGGGGTGGCGGCTCTTCATGGTAGCTTTGATTTATGTTGCCAGGTTTTTGGCTTGGTAGCCAAAATGCAATGCAATTCTTGGCAGCCAAAAAGGGGTTTCAAATATACTGAGTGACTCGGTGTGTGAGGCTATTTGTAGCTCGGTTGCATTCATTTGCTCAAAAAAAATGTCTATCTGGGCACCTAACTTAAATCAACTCTAAATCATGTTGGAATACAATTCTACAAAGTGCTCGTCTAAAAGTAGAAAAAAGTTTAGTAAATAACTTTGTCGCTTACCTATTGAATGTATGAATATGATGATTTAGTTAAGCTGACTCATCACATCATTAAAATTGTATTGTTTTTTATTATTGTTCACAATTTTTAGCATTATTTGTTAAATCTTTTTAAACAAAAACATAAATAAACAAATAATACAATTTAAAGGCTCATGAATTTTCATTTATATAGATGTTTTTCAGAATTTTTTTGAAGTCGAACTAGTCAGTGAGTCAATCAAGACAAACGCTTTTGTGTATATAGCTTATCCCAAAAATATAATTAAATAATATGCTCAAATTGTATGCGCTTTTGAAGGCTTCTTAGCATAAGATATTTATGCTTTTGACAGTCGATGTTTTTGTGCTGTCCTGTAAGCTGCTTAAAAGCTGCCGCAACGACACCCATCAGCCGGCCAAGGCTTACAGTAAGAGAAAAATAGATACGTGCCGCAGACTCCGCTCCACGAGCAGTTACCCAGTTGACCTTGAACCCCGAAATAAAAAAGTATGCAGCAGCAGAAGTTGCAGTTTGTTTGTGGCTACGTTGCATGTTCGAATGGCATTACTTTAGCTATTGGCTAGGCAATTATCCCAGGAACAACTTTCCAATGCCAGCGACAGCAGAAACAACCTGCGACCGGCCAATTTGTGCTTTCGATTTGCAAAACTCCAGCGGCGATTGTCAAACGTAGCTCGTGTTGCATATTTATGGGCACCAATGCAATTGATATAGCTCAAATAGCAGACGGCAATTGGCAAACGAAATTATCACCAATTCTCATTTAATCTACATTCTAAGTTTGGCTACAGCAAGTTGCCAAGGCCATGCGAATCTTTTTTTCCATATTAGCTAATAATTCTAGAGATTGGCAAGCGTGGGGTAGATGGGTATTTGTTAAATATATCAATATCAATCTGAATGATCCAGATATTATGAAAGTAATATTGAAAGTATAGATCTTATTTATTAAGGAAATGTTAATCAGGACGTATTGCAGAATATATCCTTGGTCTTATTAAATGCATACATATATTCGTTATCAAATCGTTAGGGTAAGGTAAGGCGTTAGCTAGTCTTTCAGCAGGCTTTGCAGGCCAAGTTATAAAGCAAGATAAAGAAAAGTTGATACATTTAATTTTAAAAGATTAAAATTAACATACACTCCCTTCAATAAACTTCAAACGGAAATAAATTTATACGTGTATAAATCTTTAGTTGATAGTTTTTTTGTCTGAAATGTTTAAAGGCGAACTATTTGGCTATTTGACCATTTTTTATTTAATTATCGTAGGCATAAATTAATGAAACAACCTTATTTTTTTCAGCTGAATGATTATTTCTATTACAGTTAGCAACGCGAGACAGCACAGATGCGGCGCCAGTACGAGCAGGGATAAAACGAATAATTGAAATCAAACCGGAACCAGTTTCAAGGAACGACTTTTTAGAGCTAATGCCAGAGATAGAGAAGGCAATGACAAATGTAATGGACTATTCGATAACCCACGAACAGCTCCCAAAAAGAAAAAAAAAGCCACGGAAGTATGTAGCTTCCCAAAGAAGGCGCCAAAATAAAAAAATGCCGACGATCAAAGCCAAGTCCAATGATCAGGAATCAAACCGCGATAAACCAAATAAAAATAATGTCGATAAATCCGAGATAACCTTACCGACACTAGGAGTTATGGAACGAAGGAACTTTGTAAACCTCAGAATGAATCCATATATGAGAGCCCCGGGTGACGCATACAATCCACAGTATGTATTTTTGCGTAATATATATAAATATGGTTACTTCTAGTATCAGATAAAAAACAGACTATATTCCGCACGCCGAGCATTAATTTCGATTTGGGATAAGTCATATTGAAAAGAAACAGAAAAACGTTTTTTTTTCCTATTGCTGTTATTTAACACACAGGGGGACTTGAAAGTCAGTGGGCTTAACGTGAGCACCTGCCACAATGGCCTAATCTCACGGTTCCTAGTATAGGATTAATTTAAGCGTCATTCACCGGCCCCTTGGAACGTCAATTCCGCAGCTACCAATTAAAGAACCGACTGTTTGGTTGAATCTTCTACCTTGGTTTGGCACGAGGCCCATCTAAACCCCTTCGGATCTGTGTATCACGGAACCCGGCTGTATAACGCAACTTCACGTCGAGCGAGGCTCTACCCGCATTTGGGTGTCAAACCACAACCACCACGATACTCCCCGAAGGGCCGAACCAAAAATCAGGACAAGCCTCTGGTCAGGCCTCGTACCAGAATAGTACTTCCAATTTAAACTCCAAAACAGTTAAGGGTTGGTGGCCCCAGCAACGATAAAACACTGCTGCAGGGAATAGAACGCAATTGATGTAAAGCAACAACTGACAGGTGGAACAGCATACGCCAGCTTCATGGGCATGGTTTTCTCACTGTCGGGAGCGAGGCTTATTCCTGCCTCTTCCGCAAACGACGGCAACGAGTCCCAAAAGGCTATGGCGGAGAGAGCGGAGAGCCGAGACCGCCTCTGTGTTCCCTATCGCCCGCGGTACCAGATCAGTCCTTTGGTCAGAACTCGTATCCATGAAGCTGGGGACTGGTAGCCCCGGACAAACACAATGTTCAACGAGATGCGCATTCATACACACCCCCTACGTTCGTACCCCAACATTCGTACCCCCAGATTTGTACATATACCATCCATCATCATTCATAGAATTCCTTCCTGTAATTGCAAACGTCGCCTTGTAAATTCAGCTCTTGCAAACTCACTCATTCTTCTAATCCTATCACTAGTGGAGAGTGATTGACTTACGTCAAACCCGCCACTAACCTCAACGATGCCCATACCCTTCAGATCTCGAAGATCTGCATACCTTGTGCACTCACAGATAACATGCTCCCATCTCTCTGCAGCCGAGCCACAACGGCATTCTACACTAACACACAGGGGGACAGATGGAGATGGGTATATCGACTCGGCTGTTAAAACCGATATCTCCTATACAGAATTCATTTCATAGAAACATTAATTTTCGGCACGCTGAAGATTGAATATCCTTGCATACATACAAAAGCTTTACTCCAAGAAGTTATTTTATAAGCACAAAAACTCGCAATTCTGAATGATAGTTCGTTTAAGTGATATTTTATAATATAATGCCTTGCAGAAAAAAATTAGACATTTTTAAATTCGCACATCATAATGCCACATCGTTTATCACTGCTCTCTTTGGTTTCTGGTATGTCATAATAATTAACAGATCTTAATTTAATTTACCCTAGAGAAGGTGCTCTTCCATCCGTGTGCATTGATAGGTCGACTATATACAATATACCTAGAGTTGAAAAATATTTGGATGTCGAAAATATTCTGGTAGCTGTTTGGAATGAATATAATTATAAGGATTGGCTAAATGCTCGGGTACTGCAAATGGACTTGCGAACCGAGCTATTTGCAAATGGCAATTCTGAAGAGTGCCACACAACTGACTATAGAGATTGGCGAAGCTTCTTGGAGTGTTCCCTGAAACGTCACCAGCGAATGGAATACATGATTCCAAAATATCCGTTACACCAAATACCCTATCATTTTTGGACAATTCTCAGAGGAAACACAATTAATTAATGTAACTAAGATGCAGTGCTATAGTAACTAACTGGAATACACAATGCTGATTGTAAATTATTAAATAACTAGACAAAAAGCACTCAATATAAATGTGCCTATTTATATTTTTTAAAAATTTCATATTTAACTTTATCTATATATATATATCTATATATCTATCTCTATATATAAAACTGTTTGTCCTGACTGACTGACTGACTGACTGACTGACTGACTGACTGACTGACTGACTGACTGACTGACTGACTGACTGACTGACTGATTGGTGATCAACGCACAGCCCAAACCGTAAGAGCTAGGAAGCTCAAATTTTCACTGTAGTTACCTTATGTGATGTAGGTGCACGTTAAGACGGGGTTTCGGGAAATTCCACCCGCAAGTGTGGAAAAATCGCGAAAAACATTTGTATGTAGCTTTTTTGTTTACCATCGGATTGGCCTCAAACTTATTTTCAAAGATCTTTGTTCAAATTCATTTGAGGGGTGTTTCACACTTTTAGGAAAATCCATTCCTCCATGGTGGAAATGGAGGTCAAAGATTTGGTGGGTGACGTATCGCGCTCAAATTCGTTTCCAGAGATCTATAAGAAAAATCATTTGATACGTGTTTCACACTTTTCGCAGAATCCAAACTTTTTCGGGTGGAATGCGACTCAAAGATTTTTGTGCGAAGTTTTAAGTTGCGTCCGATATTTTCAAAGCTATACATAAGAATGTAATGAATACGTATTTCAGCGATTTTGGAAATTCCACCTGCAACAGTGGTAAATTTTCGGAAAACGTTTGTATGTAAGTTGTTTGTTTACCGTTATACATTGATTTTATAACATACGTGCCGCGGGCAAGGCCCGGTTTTTACCCGCTAGTATATCTATATATCTATATATCTATATATCTATATATCTATATATCTATATATCTATATATCTATGTATCTATATATCAATATATCTATATATCTATATATCTATATATCTATATATCTATATATCTATATATCTATATATCTATATATCTATATATCAATATATCTATATATCTATATATCTATATATCTATATATCTATATATCTATATATCTATATATCTATATATCTATATATCTATATATCTATATATCTATATATCTATATATCTATATATCTATATATCTATATATCTATATATCTATATATCTATAGATCTATAAATCTATATATCTATATATCTATATATCTATATATCTATAGATCTATAAATCTATATATCTATATCTTAATCTTTCTCCACACATACAATTTAAACTTTAGACTCAATATGGAAAGGAATAACTCGGAGACTGTGCAATAACGGAACGGCTGGGCCAAAATTACTCAAACCCTGTAAAGTAGGCAACACTTTTTGGCCTGCGCCTTGTTCTATGGGTTTTCTGAAACGTATGACACGAGATTTATTGCATAGTTTTGTGCATATGGTGATCGAATTCACAGCGTTTCCGGTTAGTTCGGGTCACCATGTGCATGAAAAGAGTCAAGAAAAAAGAATGCATTTGAAATTTATTTCAATTGCTATTCGCTTGATAAATATTCGCTTAAGATTTATGTTGAGGGTCAATTCTTTAGGTCAGAGGCGAGCGACCCGGCCCGAACCGAGCTCGACCCACTGGGCGTGTGTGCCTCTGTCGACCCAAGGGCTACATTTTAATTATCGAGTGCTGAGGGCAATGTCACGACCCGCACATACACACACACACACACACACACACACACACACACACACACACACACACACACACACACACACACGCACACACACTCAACAGGCTTTGCCCCTTTCCACACCAACTGACAATTGCTGACATTTGCCTTGTCCTTTTGTTTACGCAAATAACGCCAAGTGGCAGATACCTAGCGCCTTTGTTGTTGCTGCTCTAATTGTTATTGTTATTGTTGCTTTTGTTGCTGTTGTTGCTGTCTCAGTTTTGCGGCCTTTGAAAATTTTAACTTGGATTGCAATTTAATTGCCGTGGTTTCTTAACAACGCAAATGCTGTCAAGTCCTTCATGAGTGTGGGTGTGTAATTTTCTGTACAATTCTCATTTAAAATTATAAAATTACATTTTCATTTACAGATTGTTGATTTCACCAAGTTGTGGAGTAGAAATAGTTCCTTTCTATGGAAAATCTGTTTTTCTATCTATCAATTTAAGGCCTTGTTAAAAGTTTGAATACAAAAAATGGAATTTTAAAAGCAATAATTTTTATTAAAATCCGAGTTTTTTTCCCTAGATACAGATTTTGCTAATAGACTATTTTTTTTATATATTTATTTATACATATTTATTCAAAGGACGGATACACCTCCATGTCTTCATTAATCTCATTCGAATTGTCAATTCAGACTTGTGCATAATTCTATGTGTTTATATATATACCCTCTCTCCCGCTTTGACTCTGGCTTGCTTCCTCTTTCCAGCTTTCTCATTTATTAAATTGAAGCATAGCACATGGGAAAATAAATAAATATGTAACTTTAATATCTAATTAATGCAGCTTATAAGTAAAATGAGCTATAATTTACAAATAAATGTATCTTTTCACCCTTTCATGCCTTGACGGTCGATTGTCAACACGAATTTAATTCTTGGCTCCTTAGAGCAAATCAAATATCCAATATATTTGAGGGCGCAAGCTTCATTCAAGATTACCCTCGAATTGCAAGTTAAATGGTAATCTTTAATTCAAGATTTTCTTAGGCAGGCTCAAGTGCTGTTCGTGCTATTTTGGGAGCTGGCCAACTGGCCCATTGTCTGGCATATTAATAGGCGCGTTGGCCATTGTTTGAAAATATGCAGCTCATTAATTAGGCGGACAAGCAATGGTCTTGGCAACCTTGAGGATTTTCTTGAAGGCCATTAATCATGATCAAGTTAAGGTTTTTGGTCAACGCTCTAATAGATATTACAATATAATTATGATGAAAATAATGGTCAGCTGAGGCTAGAAATAAAACTTTTTCAGCTTCACTCGAGAAAATTAATCAAATAAATTCATGAAAAAAGAAAGCAAATGGAGGAAAAAAACAACTGTTAAAATAATAAGCAACTGTTGGGCAATTCATTACGCTGCAAGGCGTCTGGAACTTAGCCGGGAACTAAACGAAGTTTGACGAGACGAAATCCATAAAACCCATAACGAAGACGTTGCCACGCAAAGAATGTGGCATGGAATGGCAGAGGGAGAGAAGTGTTGTCGTCCTTGTTCTTGGCGCTAATCAAATTGCAAATGTCGCACATTAATGCTAAACAATTTGTGCAAAAGACAATAAAGTCACGCATACGCCTTGTGCGCACCGCTGTGGCTGTGTGTGAGTGTCTGTGAGTGTCTGTGAGCATGTGGGTCGAAATGAATATGTTACACACACACACAAGGATATGCCTGTTGTCACAATGATAAGAGCAAATGTGATTGACAAGGATATAATTTAGAAGTTTTTGGCAAAATGACGACGCATTTACCGCAATAATGCCGCGCACGTCTCTTAAATGTGTGTAAGCATTTAACATTATATCCGTGTCAAGTTTTCACACCCCATTTGAGCTGTCAGCAGCGAAAAGCAGCTCCTCTTCTCATTCAATTAGTTTGCATTCAACACTTTCGACTGATAAGCTGGCAGGCATATTGAATGTCAAAGATCCAGGTCTTAGTATTAATATGTTTTTCTTTTTTAAATGTAATGTAAGATATAAAATGTATCTTTATTTGATTCCGGCCTATGGCTTAATATATAAGTATATTGCCACGCATATCTCTTTTTTTAAATCCTTAATATGTAGGTTATTTACCAGACAGGAGTTGAGCTTTTTAAAAGAATCTTAATATATCTTTTATTAAACTTTAGTTAGGCTCTATCTTTTCCGCTCATAAAGGAATCTTCTTTGCACAGAGTTCAAACTCAAGATATACAATCATTTCATACATACACATATATTTATGGAGTAGTCTCCCCTTGCTACGGTAACCTATTTTCGAACATACTCATTGTAACATACCCCTGTTTGTAGCAGTTCAGCTAAAGCAGCTTGCTCTGGAAAACCTTAACAATATGCGCTCGAGGCAGCATAATCATTTGTACTAGCAGCACATCCTTCGCACGTCACCTTTAGCCAGGTGCACAAATACACCCACAAATATACGCACACATACATTCACATATATGTTATGTATATGGTAACCATAACCTTGTTTGGCTAGTGCCATCTTCTGGGAATTGCCGCTTAACTTTAGGTAATACCTCAACGGTCGCAAATTGATTTCGTTTCACCATGTTTATATGTATACATTTTTGTTTCTTGCATAAATTTTCGTATTTTCTTATTTGTTGCTTTTGCACCTTAGCGTTAAATTTAATTTATGCACTCGAGACTTTTAGCCACAGCGGCAAATGTGATTTACCCGCTGCTTTTATGATGGCTACTTTGTTTTTGTTGTTTTTCTTGCTTGTTTTTTGTTTTTTTTTTGTTTGTTCCTGTTTTACTAACCTAAATTTATGAGCTTGTATAAGAGCCACAAAATTTATGGCCAAACATTTGTCTCGTTTGGCGTATGGGATTGGAGGAAGATCTGCAGAGCGCAATTTTCTTTTTTTTTTTTAACCTGTCAGGTTATTCAAGCGTTTGTTGGAAAAAGTTTTATCAAATACATTTTAGTTTTTGGAGACTGTCAATTGAAAGTAATCTGCATAATTTTAATTAATATATTTATGCAAATTATAACAGAAAACCCGAAAGGAATACATTCATCTGATTGGCCCTTTGATGTGATGGCCAGGGGAATATTTTTGTTAAATATTATAATTTGAACAAATTTAATTATTATTTAAAAGTTCATTAACCTTTTCAGGATAAAATGCCCAAGGACAGTGGTCAAAAAAGTCATATAAGCTTATAAAATTGGCTGCCTCTTAAGCATATCATTTGGCTTGCTTTATGTTAGCCTTCATTACAGGGTATTTGGGTTTAACGATCACATTTCGTTCAAAGTGTTCAATAAAGTTAAGATGTGCTGTTCAAGTGGACGAGCTGAACAAAGTCAACAAATCATTAAACTGATTATTTAATGACTGTGCCATAAATGCG